GTACTCGAGTGCAAATGATAAAAATTAAAAAAAATTAATAAAATATTAATAAACACAAAAAAGAGTTGTCAAATCAATGAAATAAATTTTTGAATTAAATTAAGCAAATGCATGGTAATCAAACAATTTACATAATACTTCGTTAATTTTTTTTAAAAAAATACGAAAAATCATTGTTATGGATTAATTCCAAATTAAATATATTTTCAGGCAAGAATAAACGTTTGGATCATAGAAGATGTTAAAAAATGACCTACGCTTGTTCTCGTTGAAAATTCAACAAGCAGTTATACCTGTTCAACAGGTAACATCATAAAAACGAAACGTGAAGGAATCGGGAAATTCCCTTTTCGCACGTCACTTTTGTGTGAAACGTTCATGTTCGCTTTCACCTAACTACCTAGCCATGGAACTGGTCTTCTTGTGTCACGATTCGCGATCGCAACGCTTGAGAGCGTCATCTAGCGGTGAATGAAAATAATTTAAAAAATCAAAAAAAAAAAAAGAAATTTATGTAAAAAACACATTGTTATAACTGCTTTTGTTATAACTGTTATGGATGGTGTTTTCTACACTAGGAAGCGCTGAAAGCTGTATACCGCTTATACCTCCGGGTTACGGTTCCGGGTGTATTTCAAAGCCAATTAGCTCAGGAGTTACTCAAAATCTAGCAACAATGTCAACTTTTTTAACAATATATCTCTAAATAACTAAGACAAATTTTCACTTCAAACTCACTAGAATTGCATAATAACATTAATATCTTATGAAATATGGCGGATTTCAGTTCAGAAATCATCTAATTTGTTTATTTTATTGAAAACAAAATTATCGGTTTGAAAATATCGCCTCGCAGAATAACATGCAGTAAGCAGCTGCAAACTTTCTAACCGGAACTAGAGCAGGCATACAGCTCGAGATTGTTATTGTTTACATTTCTACTGAAAACACCATCCATTGGCGATCGCAACACTCGAATACGCCATCTGGGGAGAGACCGGTTTCATGCCTTTAGACCTTCCCCCTTCCCTCTCCTCCTATTTTCACTACGTGATTTCCCTTTTCTTAATATTTCTCCTTTTTATTCTATATAAATATTTTTTAAAATTCCCGTGATACTTTTCTTTAGAACTTCTTTTCTATGACTTTCCACACGCTAATGGCGAAAGCATGTGAAGTGTTGCCAAAGGTAGAGAGTTCTGATCGACGTCACCTGCAGCTCATTTCGATCACGAATATCTAGAGACAGATTGGCGATCGCAACACTCGAATACGCCATCTGGGGAGAGACCGGTTTCATGCTTTTAGCCCTTCTCCCTCCCCTCGCCTCCTCTTTTCAGTTGCATAGGAATGTTCTACGATATTTTCTCTTTTCTTAATATTTTACCTTTTTACTAAATAAAAATATTTTTTAAAATTCCTGTGATACTTTTCTTTAGAAATATGTTTAATGTAGTTTTCAGTTCTATATAGTTTTCCAACTTAAAAGATTTTAATCTGTATGAAAATCAAGAGAGAAACTAACGTACTTCCTTCCTCTATGACTTTCCACAGGCTAATGGGGAAAGCATGTGAAGTGTTGCCATAGGTAGAGCGTTCTGCTCTACGCCACCTGCAGCCCATTTCGATCGCCAATATAGGAACTCTACTTAGTCCTAACAATATACTTTAAAAATATGAAGTGATTGCATAGTCAAAAAAAAAAAAAAAAANTAAAAAAAAAAAAAAAAATAGTTTACAAAAATAAAATCAATTATATGAAATGAAAAATTGTTTGAATTAATATTATGCAAATGATAGAAACGAAAATTTATCCGGAATAGTAAGATGACAAGGTGTTCTGTAAAGACCTCCTTTAATGTGTATTTTTAGAGAAAAAATGGCATTCCCATTGGGGATCGCAAATTAGTGATTAAGTAAGGAAAAAACAAAAACGCTATTGAAATCAGAAAAATAACAATACAGGAAATCAAATATAATAAACATCAAAACAGGTTTGATTGCGGCATGGCGAGGGGAGCCAAAAAATTGTTTACTATTATCAGAATCCTGTTTTGATGTTTCTTATATTTGCCTTATTTTACTGTAATTTGTCAGTTTTCGAAGAGGTTTTTGTTCCCCGCATTTAATACATACGGTAACAGCTTTACATATATATATGTAAAACTGTTACCGTATATTTACATATATATGCATGCCCTAAATAAGGGCGGGTCGGGGTAAATTCTTCCATTTACATATATATATAGATAAATTATTGCAACCTTTATATATATGCAAAGCTGTTACACACAGATATATATATATATAAAGTTGTTGCTGAGAGGTTGGATAAAAACGGGTCTTAGACAGGGGAAGAGGACATCGATGTTTATTTAAACTTTACAGTCAAAGAACAATTATCCAAGTTACAAACCCTGAGCAAAAATTAGGAAAAATCTCGCAAAATAATCCCGATGCACATGCAAAAAGGGAAGCGTTAGCAATTACGCTTGGTCCATAAAATAGGTCCAGTGTTCATGCATACTTCCAATTATGGAATGAGAAAGATTTTAGTTTGGAATAATAAATTGAAAAGATTTAGATAAAGAAATAACATAAAAAGATTAGTTTAAGCATATATGTATAGAGAGGGAGAATTTTATCCCTTTTCATTTTTGATGAAGTTTTTAAAAATGTACAATAAGAGCGCTCTTTACGCAATACCCTAAATATATGCCACAACTGAATTTACCACCAAAATGATTTAATATTTACTTATAAATGTCACCTATTTTCAGACCATTTATACAAATGTTTGCACTCTAATGTAACATGGTGGTTAAAATAATTTTAAATCTATTTCGTTCAAAAAAAATAAAAAATGTTAAAGCATATAATTACTCTCATTTTAAATGTTTGAATTAGAAATCTTTGAATATATATTTTGAACAATATACATAATGAACTCTTGCGGAAGAGGCTGAAGTTGGAAACTAATTTTCTCATACATTCCTTTATCGAAATGAGATTTCTATGTATACTCATGTAGATCAACAGTGTTAACTTATTCCACACTTGATAAAGTTAACTTTTTTCACTTGAAAGTTTAATTTCTTTTGATAAATTATTTTTTTTGTACATATTTTCTTTTTTTAGTTTTAATCTTTCTGAGCCTTTTTTTTATTTCAATAGGAGAAAAAAGATAAATTATTACAACCTTTTGGATATTAAGAGATTAGATGTAAGGAATAGATCTGAGTTAGGCCAAATGCTCAACCTTTAGAACAAGAATAGATTTATACCAAAGACAGAAAAAACTGAGATAGTATATTTTTATTTATCACCCCTCCATGAAAAATACGACAATGAATAGATTTTGTAACTAAATTTTTTCCTTGGTGTTGCCATCTCCAATCTAATGTCCAACATCATTTGGAAACATCAACCGTATCTTTTTCTATTGCTGAATTCATTCAGAGGTATGAAGTTTGTCAGTAGACCAATTTTGTTGTTTCCTTTTGACTTGCAAAATTTTTAAATCAAAATAATCACGAATTCAGAAAAAAAATTACATTGGCAAAAGATATATTTTATGACCACGTTATAGATAGCAGCACGAAATAAAATGCTCGAAAATTGTGAAATAGTCGTAAAATAACCTACAAGAAAAATTAAAAGAGACAAAGGCAGGCAGAAAGAAAGCTTTTTTCATTTTAATTATGGATTGGCCATAATATACTAAGCATGCATTAAAATATTAAATGTTCATATAATATTATATATATATATTAATCAGAAAAAATTCTACTTAATACTTATATAACAAAAAATTGCTTCCAGGAAATTTTCTGGAAATATTTAAGACATCCATGCTTGTCTCAATATCTTAAACACTTCTATTTTGATTTGATAGAACTGATTCTTTTAAAAAACAATTAATATTTACCAAAAGAAAATATTAGGCAACTTAGCATTGTGGAATGAATTGCTTTTCATTTTCAGAACACAAAACATTAAAAATATTTTTATTAACAGTATAAAATTTACAAATATTTCCTTAATAACAATATTTAGTATTACAAAATTAAGAAAAATACTTAGCATATAGTCACAATAATATAAAAACACAAGTTATATTAAAATATAATCTCAACAAAAATATATAGCTTAGATTATTAACAGTGTAAAATTTACAAATAATTCCTTGATTACAATATTGAGTATTGCTAAATTAAGACAAATATTTAGCATATAGTCACATCAATATAATAAAACAAGTTATATTAAAATATAATCTGAATAAAAATATATAGCTTAGATTATTACCAATGTAAAATTTACAAATAATTTCTTGATTACAATATTTAGTAATACTAAATTAAGACAAATATTTAGCATATAGTCACAACAATGTAAAAAAAAAAACAAGTTACATTAAAACATAATCTCATCAAAGATATAAAATATATAGCTGTTGTAAATATATTTAAATTCATATATAATTTATAATTGTATATTTGCAGGAAATATTTATATTATAGTAAAAAGAGTAAGTCAATAAAGGCAAACAGATAATGTAATAAACGTTCCACAATTAAATTGGTGTGTATAATAAGTCTACTGGCATCACCTGAGATCAAATCCAGGACACTTGTGTTTGTAGCTGTATGTTCTAAACACTGGTGCAAGAGTACATATCTGAGAATTGTAATATTTTTGCTGCTTCAATGGGGAAAACGCTGCAAAAATTGGACCAAAATGCTTAAAATTTAAAACAAATTATAGACAGAGCTCATTCTAGACAGAGAAAAGGGCAGGGTGCAAAAGTTTAAAAAAAGGGCATTATTGTTCTAAAAAGGCAATAATTTCCTTCTATAGGCACTACACGTTCAATTAAAAGACATTGTCAATTAGTAAAAGAATTTTTATTTTACTAAAAGTAGCAAAGCAATCATATAAATTACTAATTTGTATCAATAAATTAACATATATATCGAGTTAATGAGCTAATTAGCTTAGTAATTTATTTAAAATGCATGCATATATTAATAAAATAATAAATGTTTTTAAGTGTCTGTAGTTATGATTTAATAATTAAAATGATTAATAATAATTATGGTTTAATGATAGTGGAAGTAACTGCAAACTTTCAAAGACAAGTGCAACAAGGGGTTGTGATGGATATTTTTCCCTTCCCATATAAATCTATGTATTGACAGCAATGACAAACTAAATAAAAAGAGTTGAAAATAACAAAAGTTTAGGAACTCCATAGCAGAGTTTGGGGGGGGGGATAAAGAAGGACTTAGGGAAAAAAGGGCAAAAAGAGTATAGACTCTATTACATCAGGGCACTAATTTACTTCAGGGGCAACAGGGTGGATTCTTTTGACTAAAAGGGCAGCAGGGCGCTGTGCCCTGCTTACCCTGCCTAGAATGAGCTCTGTTATAGATAAATGTGACATTGAGTCACCAAATCTTAATTTTTCGGTTGGGATTGTGACCTAGAAATTAGGCCGACACCCCTGAACCCTCTACTGTGACGCCTCACTGTCTGCCGACCTTCACGCCTGTGACCTTCGGCAGCCTTTGATGTCAGCACATGGTTTAGTTACTGTATGGTCACCGTTAGTGTTTAATTATGCTTAAATTTAAGGGGTTAGTCAACTCACTTCAATTCTCTCCTTAAGCAATTTTAGTGTTGCTTTTTAGGGAGTTTAACTTTCACTTCCGGCTGTTTATATAAATACCGCCCATTTTTTTGAGCGGGCAGCATTCGATATTTGTTAGCATTCAAAATCTACGATCCTTTAACAGGGATTTTTCATTTCCACCCTTTCCTCTCTTCGAGAGACGGAGTTTTTTTTTGTTTAATTACATGGAGGTCATTATTCCACCCCCCGTGGGTGCGTGAGCTGTCCGGCTCGGCTGTGCTGGAATTCCTTCGCCATGGATTAGTTGGTTTTCTTTCTTCCTTTGGTTTTTTAAAGTAAATCACAAGCGTAGTGAATCCGCATCTCGTGTGCCATGGTGTCTTTGACAAAAAAAAGGCATTCCAATTCATCAAATCAGCCTGGGATCGTGATTGAAAGATCTTGAGTTTCTCGAGTAAAGTGATGATGTGTTCCCTACCAAAGTGTGTGAATTTTCTTGAAAAACCGTGCTGTCTCCATACCATAAAAAAATCGATGTTGTGATTCCCTATGATGTGTTCTATCGAACCTTCTGCAGCAAATAAAAATAAAAGAATCTGTTTCAGTGGTAACCAGAACTCATTTATTCTGTTTCTTTTTTAACAACATTAGTTATTGTTTTTCAACATTTCAGACAGCTCAAAGTAAACCTGCAACAGGTATGTGGAACTCAATTACAATGACATATTGATCTTTTTGTGTGTTTTTCTTATTTCTAAGGGTTATTGCTTGAAATCTTTAAGTACTTTTTCACTTTTGGAGTAGTCACGCGCCATAATTAACTTGTCTTTTTATTTTTTTTCAACCTTGTAACAAAAGTAATTAATTAACTAAATTTATAATGTTTTTTCCAACTAATTTAACTGCAACATTTTGTACCTCACCAATGTGTATTTTTATGTTAGTTATTGAGGCACATCGCATAATTTAATAATATTTTATTTTCGGCCAACTTTTTTTTAAATTTTAACAACAGCAACTTCAAGTAACAATGACCCCACTGGTATTTAAGTTCAGATTAGTCCAATGAATCTTCTGAATAATTTAAATCTTCTGCTTCCTAAATGACAGTTACTTAGGTACAATGTTTCCCAAGGTAATTTAATTTTTTTATTTATCAGAAACTGTAAATAATCTCAACTATTGAAAATATTGGAAAACTCAAGTCAGATTTTGACATTCGTATTGTTAAGTGATACAATTATATTTACAGACTAAAATTATTGATAAATTTAAAAGTTATTTCAAAAATGAATATTATGAAATAGAGCATGACTTTTGACGGCTAAAATAATATCTTAACTCAATAACCAATTAAAATAATTAATAACCAATTATAAAATAATTAATAATTTAAATAACCAATTTAAGTGTTTTACTGCAAAATTTAATTTATTGAATTATGTCAAGAAAAATAGATTACTATATTTTAAATTGTGGGGAAAAAAATTGATGCTAGTAAATAGTTTAATTATGATACAAGAAAAAAAAAATATTTTAAGAACTTTAAAATAGGTTTTTCAGTTACTGTACCTTTTACTTTTTAATAAGATGCTGAGTAATAGTGAGATTTTCATTTAATTCAACATCTATCCCTTTTTTAAGTGAATCCAATTCATCATCATTTATGGAAGATGATGTAATATTGGGATCATCATTTCTACGACTAAAACCAAGCTTATCTGTAAGTTTTTTGCTTTCTCTTGCACTATTTGTTCTACCTGTTTTGAGACCAGGGTCTTTGCAGTTTTTTTCCAGCAACTCTGCTCTGTCATTTCCTCCAGGTTCCTCATCGACATCATCCTCCTTATTATTTTCACTCGATTCTTCTGAAGTATGTCCACTATCAGTTTCATCATTTTTCTTCAATTTTTTCAAAGCTGTGTGAGCACCAGCTACTAACGCACTGCCAGCTACGACAGCAGCTTGTGTACTTCCAGCCAATCCAGCAACTGCAGCACTTTGCATACTAGCAAAAACACTCCCAGATACAATAGTACCCCCAAGAAATGTACTCTGATAAGCAGCAGCCAAAGAACCTCCGACAACACCACCACCAGAAAAACCAATAAGAGGAAGAGCTGCGGCAGTCCCACCAAGAACAGCACCAGATATTGCAGTAGTTTTTAAAGCAAACCCTAAAGAAAAAAAATTATAAATTAACTGAAATGAATGTGGGGTTTAATGGCACTAAGTTTTAGTAAGATTTGCTATGCCAAACTAATAATTAAAAGTAGATAATTAAGTTTATTTAAGTAAGAGAAAAACTATATAACTGCTGTTACTAAGTCTGAGTAGGAAAAAGAGCTTCAGCAAATATCAGGATCATGGGCCTAGTGTTTATCTTATGAGGAAACTATAGCTAGGGACAAATCCTTCATGGCAAATTCTCTTTCATTGACATAATTTAGAATTTAAAGTTTAGAGAAAAGTGAGTTTAAGTAAATCTAAATTAAAATGATATTTAAATGTTTTGTTCAAGTAAACCATTTGTTCAGCATGTGGTTTCAAATACTGAAAAAATGGTTTAAAAACATCAAAATGCAAAAAAAAAAAAAAAATGACAGGATTACACAGTGGGCTCTATTATCACAAAGACCATTTAGCTTTGTGGTTTTACTCATGATATCATTTTAGGTAGAAGTAGAACTGCCTTAATCTAATAAAAGCAGCAAATAAAGTAAGTCTCACTATTATTATTTTTTAAAAAAAGAAAATTTATGGCATAAATAAAATCTACCACAATTTCAACAAGCTTGTGGTAGATAGTTAGAAGTTAGAAAGAGTTTTCAGTTTCATCTACCTTGGTTCAACTATCAATGACAGGAACAATACTAGAAATTAAAGGAAACAAATGTTTTTACTTATACCAAAACTTATTTAAGGACAAACTTTTTATGAAGAAAATCAAGTTGAAGATCTATAAAACAGTCATTAGATCTACATATGGCAGTAAAACTTGGACTCTTAATAAATAAAGAAGAATCAAATCAACTAATAAATGGAAAACTTTGAGAAGAAATTTTTGACCAATTCAAGTAAATAATATATAGTGGCGGTACCATTTAACTCAGGCAAAAAACATAATTTGAATTAGTAAATTCAGATGTCTGAATTTGCTGGGATACATTGAAAGATTAAGTGGTAATAGAAATTGGCAAAAACTTTTGAACTGGAAACTTTTGAACTAGCGATCAATAGGAACACCGAAAAAAAAAAATGGTTTAAAGATGCTATTAAAGATCTAACCACTTTAAATATGAAAAGCTAAAAGTCGAAAACCAAAATGATTTATTTTGGCCAGTCAAAGCTCAAAGCGGTCTGTAGAGTAAATGTAGAAAAGTAAGTAATGTTTTTGACAGGAAAATTATTTACAGAATGAGTTCACTCATACTTTGCTAAACGTTTCTGTAAGTTACACTTAGATTGGATATATATAGGATTGGATATAAGAATACAAAAATTACAATTGAAAATGTGCTTGAAAAGAAATTACAAATAAAAAACTTATGTTTCTGATTTGAAAATTAAACTTTTCATGGTTATAACTTAGTTACAACTAAAATGCTTTTTTTTAAAAAAGTAATAAAATTTTATCGCTTAAAATGAAAAAAAAAACGAAGATAAAAAAACAATGAAGAGTTTTTCTTTATTTTGTATTATTCGTTATTTCTTTAGATTAATATATTGAGCTCAAAGCGAAAATTAAAGATAAAAATAAAATCAAAATAGCATCGATTTCAAAGTAACAGTAGACAACTAAAATTAATTGAAAAGAAAGATTAAATCCCAACAGACAAAAAAAAAAGAAAAAAAAAACCTAGAAGACTNAAAAATCGAAAAAAAAACTTGACAAAATAATACAGAACGATTGCTAAGTAACAGAAGTCCTATTGGAACTAATTTACAAGAATTTTTTATTTATAACAATGGCTTATTTTAAAAACCAATGCAAAAAAAAATCCTTTTCAAACACCTCTCTTGATGGGGCTAATTAAAATTTTTAAACAGTTTATTGGATCAGGGATTAAAATTGCTCGCTATAGTTTACGTCTAAATTTCAGAATCCTAGCACAAACGGTTCTGGAGTTATGAGAGATCTAGCAACATGTTCTCACACCGTGGGCTGACCGAATTACTGAGTAAACACAAAAATTTAATAACAAAAATAAAATAGATTTTCCAAATGGCATGCAAATAATTTAATTAAGTTGGGAAAAAAGAAATTGCAAAAGGATTACAAAAAATTATAGTAACTTATGAGGAAAAAAAAATACCATGCTAATTAATGAAGCCATTAATAAGATATAAAGTAAGTTGTATTTAAAACAATGAGTTTAAACATAGTTTGTTTTTTCCTTGTTAACAAACCATTAACTGACTCCCACGGATTTTAAATAGTTGAAAATAAAAAATTACCCATGAATATTGGCAAAGAGCAGAATTAATTGTGATCCAAATATAAAAGTACACAGTACATTTTTAATTTTTTACATAGAGGGATACCCAAATTAATACTTACATCCAACATCCTTCAAGGTACTACTTTCAGCATCCTGAAACAAATAGAATAATTAGCAAAAATTAATAAATAATTAGTCATACTGATAACAATTTAATTCACATCATAATTTCAGGGCTCCCAAAGGGGGAAAGAGGCCTATTTGTAGTTAAAAAAAGTAATTAGAAAGACCATTTAGGTTTTCAAAATTTTTTAGGATGACCATTAAAATTTTTAAAAATTTAAGAAAATCATTAATATTTAATAAGTCTTCCTTAATAAAATAATAAAAAATAGTTTGAACAGAATTATACCAACAAGAGAAAATTTTTACAATAAGTATCATAAAACAGAAATTTCAAAAAATAAACAGTAAAGTCAGAAATTTTAAAAAATTAAAAGATTCACTGAAGAAAAATTAAATAAAAACAAACCATGTGTAAGTTCTCAAATCTTATTTAATATTTTGCACATTTAAGACTTACAACAGAAATTGAGCAAATAAGAAGTATTAAAAAAAGTTAATTATGTGTAACAGAAAATAGTCAACTTAGAATAAGCGAGAATCAACTTTAGAGAAACTTTTATCGTTTTGTTATAAAGTAAAAAAAAATTTATTAAAGAAACTCTTTTTTATTCTTCCTCTCTTCTACTTTCTTCATCACACCTGGATAATTTCAGTCCCCAGAAAGTAACCATCATTAATAATTTTATCTGGTCTTATCTTATCAATAATCATATTATAATTTTTCAGTATTAACAGATAATGATGTGTCCTAAATTAAGTAGATAATTAACATCTAAATTAAATCATATTACATACATAAATAACTGAATAATCTCTTAAGTTTTAATTGATTATTGAAACCCAAACTGGATCAAACAATCAAATCACAATCCTCCATAAACACTAAAAATTTTAAAAATGTTTTCCTAGTTGAAGATAAGATTTAATATTGGTAATTTCAATAACTTTAGAAAAAAAAAATACATTGCCTAAACAATTATCAAAGATAAATTTCTAAAAGTCCCTTACTTCATCACATTGATAAATTTATGATGATTGATACATTAGTTTTAAATGGTTTTAGATAAAATGAAAACAGGATTGGTAATCAAATTTTTTAAAATGATACATCTTAATCATAAAAGATTTGTCACTACATTTGCTAATAATTTGTATTAGTAGATAAATGAGATATTTTAATTGATAATGCAAAAATATTTAAGTGCTGAAAATTCTGAAAACCACAAATTTGGTCAGATAAATAAAAAGCCTTAATATTCTTAGAGTAAATGGACAGCCCCTTAGGTGCAAATTTTGCGCTTTTAAAATTAAAGCTTAAAGACATGATACAGCAGGTTGTAAAAAAAATAAGATAAAACTTAAAAAACAGTTTTTACAAATTTTATGACATAAAAACAACTTTTCCGTGGAATCATTACGGTAAATAAAATATAAACTAAATTGATATATATTTTTATAAACATATGCTTAGTAATTTTATTTCAAACTGTATGATACTGGCAAATATTAAATCTTGTTGCTAAATAAAAAATTAGTATTTGGACAAATAAGGCATAAGAAAGATTGAAAGTCTTTTGTATCATTATAAAATATAATATATCATAATGAAGAAATAAAATCATTTCATTAAAATAGATTGAAAAAAAAGTTAGGATTGAATTTTATTGTACTTTAATACAGCCTATTTAAGAATTTCTAATCGAAAATTCATTACCACATACAACTTAAAAAACATTTAGTTACAAAAAAACAGAAGTAATTAAAAATTAACGTTTTTATGTGCATTATGCGAGTGCATATCCAGGAACTAAGAAGTGGTTAGGATGGAGTGTCAAATGACAAAAAGTGGTGGTGACGAATTAAGGTAATTTAGGTGGCCACTTTGTTTTATTTATTTGCCATGTGGCATGTGACAACCGCTAATCTTGCATGTAATTCTATTTTTACATTTAGTTTCTTGCCCAATTGTTACCAAAATTCGGCAACTATTTTGACTCGGGAAAAAAATACATTTAATGTATTTTTTTCCCGAGCATTTTTTCAGCAACAAGGTTTTAAATTATTTTAGAAATGCTTTAAAAACAGGTATTAAATTTTTATCATATGAGTTCTCTCCACTGCTGTATTTGTGATTTTTTTTTTTTAGAATATTGTTGTGTTGAAGTACCAATATAGAAATCTTTATATCAAGTTAATTGGGAATCTGTTCAAAAATCTTTGTACCAACCATTTTTTTATTTTTTATTATTATACGAAATAGAGAAAAACTAATTAGTTGAGCAAGAAAATATAACTTTTCAGAACTCTTCAAAGCAGGTTAAATTGTAATATTTTTTTTAATTCATGTAATTTAATTTGAAAGTTCTGCTGGCAAGAAATTTTTTTATTATTTACTTAAGTAGCTTGATAATTAAAAATCATTCATAACTGTTTGTATCAACATATTTTAGCAGAAATTATAAAATCCATTTTGAGAATAAAATATTCTGTTAGAAACTATAAATAGTGATATAACTTCTGTTTAAATAAATGTTCACAAAAAACTTACATTTTTATCTTTTTTATCATCAGACATCTTTATTAGACTAAATTTTCCCCTAAAAATATAATCAAAATTAGGTAAGTTTGTGTGTAATATACATTCACATGAAGTAATATTCTAAACTAATCTGACCACAGTTTATTTTTTATTTTTTCTTTCAGCATACATATGAGTCGATAATGTTTTTAAATAAATAATCTCTACTCATGTAAATTTCTGAAATGGAATACATTTCTGAATCTTTTAAATCTTTAATATATTCTTTCTTACGGAAATTACACATAAAATTATTCCAACAAACTTGATTCTGCATCATAATTTACTTGTAAGTGTCGTTCCTAAATGTAGGGAAAAATGTTGTAATTTTGATCAATTTAAACTTTATATTATTTTTTCACAACAATTTAAAAAACAATACATTTTACATTTACTGTAAAAAATTTTTGTAAAATAAAGAATGTCAAGAACATTTTTTAAAAAAAATTGGTCCAAAGCACAACATGGTACTGCATCTTCGTGAATTACATTTATTTTGATTTCTCTGCTACTGAGCTTGTTTATTAATTGAATGTAGGCATTAAAGTAATTAAAACTTCCTTGGCTTATTTTATTTTAGCTTGCATAAGCTAAAGTAAGTCCAATTAAAAATTCATAAATGTAATATTAAATAATATTTTGTTGAAATATATTCTAAAAATCCTTAATAAAAATTATAAATTACACATGTTATGAGTGTGTGGGGAATTTATTATCGACTATGTTAACCTTCCAATGTGGCGTAACTACCACTACAAATACCAAATAACTAGTATATAAGACATGTTAACTCGATTCTATATTGGGGCACCTTTTAATCAGGGTTGGCAGGTTTTTGACATGTGACAGTTTAAACCATGGTTTAAACCGTCACGTCAAAAACCTCACTGTCAAAAATGTCGAAAATGTCAAAAACCTATATTCATATGTGAAATTTAATTAATACATAAAATTTATATATTTTTTATAAAGGATAGTGTTTCTAAATATGTTCTAGAAAAAATAAATTTAAAATTTTGAAGAAACACTTATATTTTGAATAGTAACCAAAATCTTGTACTTTTGAAAACTCACATCTTTTGTAATATTATGTATTCATTTTCATGTGTTATTGAAAATCTGCAGTGATATTATTAAGAAATTTATTTATAACCAAATTTAGTGTATAGTATAGATTATACTAAAAATTAGACATTTTTAAAGATAAACATTAGCAGTTTTGTACATTAGACATCTTCTTTTAAAGAAAAATCTTTTTAATATTCTTTTAAATCTTCTTAATAATCTTTTTAACATAAGACAATACAAATTTAAGTGCTTTCTGTTAAATACACAGAGTAGTTAGTGTCGATTTACAGTATATTCAGCCTATTCATTTACTATGCTGAAAATTTAGTTTATCCAAATACTTGTGAATTTCATTTTGCTGAATACTATATAGTTTTGTTGAATATCTAAATATTCAGCTGTTGAATAATTACTTCTTGCTTTCAAGATATGCATTATTTGTATTCTTAATACAAGTGGAGAAAAAAAAATTAAGAGATAAAAATTGTTTTAAAATGATAAGTGTAATAATTATAAATAAATATAATAAACAATATGAATTATATTTATCATTATTCACAAATATAACTACTTTTAAATTCAAATTAACATACTGGATAATAAAGATATTCGGTATAACATTAAAATTTTTTTTCATACACTTGTATCAAGTTTGTATTTATACAACATAACTTGTAAGTTCCTTATAAATATTAGTTATATGTTCCTTATATGTCAAAAATGCATAGTAATAAACTTTTAATTTTCTTAAGTATCAAAAAGAAAAAAAATTTTTTTAAATATAAATATTTAAACAATTTTTGTGCAAAATTTTTCTGCACATGCATTTGAATATAAATTTCTGAGATTTTAAATCTGTTATTTTACCTTAATTTTAATTAAAAAATATTTTAAAACCTGCTGATTACCTATAGTATAATTAAATTTTAATATAATGCATGGCAACTGTTGGTAGTTTTGAAGTTTATATATTTTCTTGGCAAACTTCAGTTTTTGACATTTTTGACGGGTTTTTGACGGTTTAAACCAGTATTATACCCTTGTCATGTCAAAAACCACTTTTTGACGTCAAAAACCACTTTTTGACGTCAAAAACCCAACCCTGCTTTTAATAGATGAAGGTTGACATTGTCGATAATAAATTCCCCACAGGTGCAAGCTTGGTAGTATGCAAAATAAAACAATAAATAAAAAAATCAGGAGATTAATTATATTAATATACATGTGCAGACTAATTTTAAAAAGATCAAACAACTATAAAACGTTTAGTTTGCACTACTTAAGTATAATAAAAACAAATTTTATCTTAAAAGAATAATAAAATATACTATTTTTAAATTATATATATATATATATGGATTTATCTCTGTTACACATATCTAAACATGTCATCATAAATCTATGTTAATGTTCTCTGAACAAATTGTAATAGTAATGGCATTTATCATCTTCAAAAAGTTGAGGTAAAATATGGTTTATGATTAATGGTTATGCATGAAGAGAAGTTCATGTCTTTGAATTGTATTTCTTTTTTTAATTTAGTCAATTAAAATTACAATGGAAAATATGATGTAAAAACAAAAACATAAAGCAATGCATTTTTTAAGAAGCATACTCAGCTATAGTCTAAGAAAAATAAATAATGTATACCACGAAATTATTATTTTTTTTTAACTACAACACAGCATGTAATTTTACAACAGGTGAATAAAAATTGGAAATATCTTTATCTTCAAAAGTAAAATGAAATAACTAAACATATTTAATATTCATTATTTTCTGAAAACAAAAATTAACGCAGGAAATAGCTGTCAAACCAATGAAATATGTATGTGAAATAAATAAAGCAAATGCATGACAAACAAACAATTTACATAATACTTCATTTAATTTTTTTAAAAAATGCGAAAAATCATTGTTACAGATTGATGCCAAAGTAAATACGTTTTGAAAAAAGAATAAACGTTTGGATCATAGAATATGTTAAAAAATTACAAGAATATTACTTGTAGTTTAATAGTATTCTTGTTGTAATGGTTTTTGTTTTCGGCAGGCAACGCCAACAAATAACAAAACAGAAAATATCTCCAACTGGGAAGAGGAGGAGAGGGAAGAACCGGTCTTCTAGATGTTGTCCCAGATGACGTTTTCGACCGTTTCGCGATTTTAATGTTGTTTCCTGTTTCAATTGATTTGCTCTTCTTTTTTTATTTTTGAAAGTGCTGTTTCCAAATAAAATAAAAAGTTATTCATACTTTTTGTCTTTAACTCTTCATATACTAATTTTTTATTCTTATGCTGTACTTTTGCATTTTATTGTACTATAATGTCACGTTTTATATTCAAAATATATACGTCTCTACTCATAGAATATCTGTAATAGTTTTGTAACTATGCAATTGATAATGTTTTTCTTTCAAAAATGGGACGTGAGACAAATTACAGTATGAAACACTTGGTTTGCGCTAAAATAGCGTTGTGAAAGTGTGAAAGCGCCGATTTCGAATCAAGTGACGCAGATCACTGATTTGAATCCTGTGATTTTGATTTGTGTATCAAGTCAAGGGATTCAAATCAGTCAAACAATTCAGATCAGTGATGCGAATCAAGTGATTCAAATCATGTGATTCGGAATATTATTAAGAAAAAAGTAATTCGGATCACTATCCGAAGCCATTGATTTCAGATCAGTGATTAAAATCATGCAATTCGGATTAGTATTCGAATCAAGAGATTCAAATCATGAGATTCGAATCCCTCATTCTTAATGAGTGAATTAGATCACTATTCAAGTCAAGTGATTTCAGATCAGTGATACAAATGATGCGATTTGGATCACAATTTGAATGAAGTGATTCGGATCACTATTCGAATGAAGCGAGTTCAGATAATTGATACTAATTATGTGATTCCGATCACTGATTCGAATCAAGTGACTCAACCCAGCGATTTGGATTCGATTATATTCGAATCAAGTAAATTAGATTACTGATTCGAATGATGTGATTCTGATCAATGATTCGAAATAAGTTATTCAAATCCTGTGATTCGGATCACTGATTCGAACCATGCGATTCAGATCACTATTCGAATCAAGTGATCCAAATCAGTGTTTCTAATCATGTTATTCAGATTTCTGATTCAAACCATACGATTAGGGTCGATGATTCGAATCCCTGATTCTTATCAAGTTATTCGGATCATTGATTCGAATAAGGCGATTTGGATCACTACTTGAATCAAGTGATTAAGATCAGTCATTCGAATCATGTGTTTCGGATCACTGCTTTAAATGTCTGATTCTTGTAAAGTGATTCGATTTATGCGTTTCGGATCACAATTCGAATCAATTGATTCATATCCTGTGATTAGAATCAATGATTCAAATCACCGATTCTTATAAAAGTGATTCGGATTACTGATTCGATTCATGCGTTTTGGTTCACTATTTGAATCAAGTGATTCAGATCAGTGATTCGAATACTGCGATTTGGATCACTATTTGAATCAAGTGCTTAAGATCAGTAATTCGAATTAATGATTCAAATCATGTGTTTCGGATCATTGCTTCAAATGTCTGATTCTTGTAAAGTGATTTGATTCATGCGCTTCGGATTACAATTCGAATCAATGGTTCAAATCACCGATTCTTATGAAGTGATTCGGATCATTGATTCGATTCATGCGTTTGGGTTCACAATTTGAATCAAGTGATTCGGGATTTATATTAAGTGACTCAGATCAGTGATTCGAATCAAGTGATTCAGATCTCAATTCGAATAGAGTATTTTAGATCACTAATTTTAATAACATGATTTAATCACTTAAATGCGAATCACTTGATTCGAATGGAATGCTCACAACACTATTCACTTAGATTCTAAGTAAAGTTGACTTACCTAACACTATTTTTCCCTTTATCATATGTCGATAGAAAAAAATTATTAAATTTTTTATTAATGAATTCTTTCAAGTAAAAAAATATACTTATACCCTTCCAATAATTGTTTTATATATGTTTTTAAAGTGCTGGGATAGCCTGGTTGGCAGAACACCGGACTCACGTTCGTGAGAACGGGAGTTCGAATTCAGCCAACATGAAGGACTTTTTTACCCCGACAGATTTAACGTGCACCAGCCACCATTTACTACACTGGGTGTCTTCGACTGGCTGGATTCGAACTCCTGTTCTCAAAACTAATTATACGCCTGGGATTACTGAATTGGACACTGATCATTCTCTGGTTCAAGTAAAAATTACGATCTCTAGATAAATGAATGGGTCTGCCCTATAAACGGGTGTGGCGTGTTTGTGGCAGAAGTCGAATTCTTTACCATAGATGGCACCACTGGAAAAACAAGAACAATCGCACCTCCTCTGCCTTAATAGGCGACGACAACAACAACATATGTGGTTAAATGCTATAAATACTTTTAAATCTGGAATTATTTTTCTTCCCTTTTTTGAAGTGACTACAGATTTCTTACTTAGGATAGATTGAGAAAACTATCAGTACCAGAAAAAAACTAACGGGTGTGTTGCTCATACATTTTTTGTCTGATTATTATATATAATCACTAACACTTCTTTTGGTACATATGAGAAAACCACATTACTCGGTATACTTGACTTGTATTATCTACACTAACTTTTTCTCAAAAAGTTACGGGATAATGCACAGTATCAACTTACACTGTTGTTTTTCAAAGGTAAAGGGCCATTGTTTGGTATTATATATTTAGATATACTTTTAAGATTATGATTCATTGTCTGATCTTTGCTAACATATATTAAAAGGGAAATTCCTACATAAAAGCTTTAGAGTAATAATAATTAAAAAGAAAATAAATGGTTTAACTAAAATTGATGTAAGTACAGAACGCAAAAAAAAAAAAAAAAAAANCCCAGAATAACTTTTGATCTAGTTATCGGGTTCTTCACGCTCTAAGACTTAATAGTATTATACATAACCTATATACAATAACAAATTCGTCATAATAAAATCAAGAAAAAAAATATGAGAAGTTTTAAAAAGATAAAAAAAATATGAAAACGTTTTTTTTTCTATAAGTTAACAGTGAAAAACTTCCATTTGTATACCATATCACTAAGCGATTCTATTGGTTTTTTTTAAAATTTCCTCATTTTTTTTCTAGTGTCCCAAAAACATTTCAAACCTCGTTATTGTTCCTTCACACTTACATATTGATATATACCACCTTATATGCATAATTTTTTACAAAAAGAATTAAAAATGTATATTAAGGGTGGTCATTTATAGTCTGATATTAAGAAAATATATTTAGTTCTAATATATTTTCCCTCATCATCGTGTATTAAGAATTAGAAATTACTGTAACAAAATTTTAAAGGGAAAAAAAAAAAAAGAGAGAACAAGAAACTTCTTAGTTTTTAATTAGAGTTATTTAATAAATAACTCAAACTATCTTAATTGTTAGAAATCTAAACAATCTTGTAGCTTTTGATTAAAGATATTGCAATTTAAAATGTTCGAGCTGATAAATCATTTAGATCAAAAGTTAAACTTTTTAGTAGTGTAGATCATCAATGTTGAAAAAAAAAAAAAAGAAACTTTGATGCTTATGAATTATAACAAGTAACAACAATTTTGATTTAAAAAGAAAAAAAACTTTGTTACATTCACTCTTAGCTCAAAAACAAATGATAAAAGTTTTAAAAAATATTAAAAGTATTTTTAGCACTGTCTCTCCTACACCAAAGAGTCAGTATCTGTACTGAAAATAAATAGCTTTAGTCTCAAGAGCCAACCCCGAGTACTATGCAGCACACAACAGCCCACTTTCAGGCAACGGTCTATGGGTTGGGAATGTTGATTTAGATAATCAGTTAAATAATAATAACTTTTTATTGAGAAAAAGTGAAAATTAAACTAACATAGCACTGAGGAATAAATTTTTTATTTTCAATAACCAAAAACATAAATAATCATTTTTATAATATAACACTTTCCAATAATTTAGAACTTTATTTAGCATTACTAATTAATAATTCAAATATTTAGCAACAAGTTCTAATAATAATATAAAAACAAGTAATATAGTCTTAACAAGGTATAGAAAAACATACAAGATGTAGAAAAAATAGAAGACGCAAGGAAAATATAGCTGCTACAAATATGTTTAAATTCATACATAATTATATATTTGCCAAAAATATTTACGCTGGTAAAAAAGTGTAAATTAATAGACCCATTGCTAATGTAATAACATTTCACAATTAAATCAGTTGTGCGTAAAGTACTTTGGCATCGGCTAGGATCAACCCAAGGACACTTGTCTGCGGTATGTTTTATACACTAAGGAAAAAGCTACACATTAAAGTGTGTCTAACGTTTTAAATCTTTCAGTAGTTATGTAAAAAAGGGTCACCTACCATCATTAAACAGTAAGTGAAAATTTATAACTGAATTGATATTCTCTGTTGCCTTAATGCACCAAAAATTGCAGTAATTAAACTACACACGCTTTAAATTAAAAATATATATACATATATATACATTTCGTTGGAAGTACTTAAAAGTTACTATCTCTTACAATGAAATTCTGTACAAAATTTTATATTTGTAACTTAATATCTCTCAGCGTCATCGAAGCTTTGATTGGCTCAATAAGATAGCAGAATTGAATCTTATGAATAATTTGAATATTCAGTGGACAAAATGGATGGATTGTTACTGAGATACAAATGTTTTTCAATGAAAATTAAACTTTTTTTCCCCATAGAAATTGCAAATAAATAAATAAAAGAAAAATAAAAAAATTATTCTAACAATTTCAGGGGTGAGTAATATTCTTCACTCTTTTGATAGATATTAGGGGAAATAGGTGCCAGGTGCATTTCATTATAATTCGATTGAGAGACTTGTGCATCTAGAAAACTCATTTCTCACTATCAGTCTCATTATTCTTTTTAAATTTTTTAACAGCTGAGTGAGCACCAGCAACTACTGCACTGCCAGCTGTGATGGCAGCTTGTGAACTTGCAGACCAGCCAGCAGCTCCAGCACTTTTTAAAAGCGCAAAAGCACTCCCAGATGCACTTGATTCTTGTGAAGTATGTCCACTATCAGCTTCATTATTTTTCCTCAATATTTTCATAGCTGAGTGAGCACCAGCAACTACAGCACTGCCAGCTACAATAGCAGCTTGTGAACTTGCAGCCAATCCAGCACTTTTTAAAAGTGTTAAAGCACTCCCAGATGCACTTGATTCTTGTGAAGTATGTCCACTATCAGCTTCATTATTTTTCCTCAATATTTTCACAGCTGAGTGAGCACCAGCAACTACAGCACTGCCAGCTGCAATAGCAGCTTGTGAACTTGCAGCCAATCCAGCACTTTTCAAAAGTGTTAAAGCATTCCCAGATACACTTGATTCTTCTGAAGTATGTCCGCTATCAATTTCATCATTTTTCTTCAATTTTTTCACAACTGAGTGAGCACCAGCAACTACAGCACTGGCAGCTATGCCAGCAGCTTGAGAGCTTGCAGCCAATCCAGCAGCACCAGCACTTCGTAAAAGTGCATAAGTACTCTTAGATGCACTTGATTCTAATGAAGTATGTTGACTATCAGTTTCATCATTTGTCATAAATTTTTTCACAATTGAGTTAGTACCAGTAAGTACAGCATTGGTAGCCATGCCAGCAGCTTGTGAACTTGCAGCTAATCCAGCAGAACCAGCACTTTGTAAACGTGCAAAAGTACTCTTAGATACCCTTGATTCTTCTGAAGTATGTTGACTATTAGTTTCATCATTTGTCATAAATTTTTTCACAGCCGAGTGAGTACCAACAACACTGGCACTGCCAGCTATGGCTGCAGCTTTTGTAGTAGCAGCCAATCCAACAGCTCCAGCACTTTGTAGAAGTGCAAAACCACTCCCAGATGCTATAGTGCCACCAAGATATGCACTCTGAAAACTAGCAGCCCAGGAACCTGCTGCAACACCACCAGCAGTAAAACCAATAGCAGGAAGAGCTAAGGCAGTGCCACCAACAACAGCAGATACGGCAGTAGTTTTTAAGGTGAACCCTAAAAATATAATTTTATATATAAACTGAACTAAATGTGGGATTTAATGATACTAGCTCCAAGTAGGACTTGCAGCATTATATAACCTGAATTAGACAATTCCTGAATTAGATTAGACAGAAATAGATGATTTCTTTATCGAAAGATTTACTATTTAGGGATAAAAATTAATATTTAAGTCAGATAAATTGCTTACAAATGGCGAGATAAGTCAGATCATAAGAGAACTAAGGATCATGGGCCTTGTGTTTACCTTAAGATGGCAAACCTCTAAAGAGATTTTTATGCATAAAATTTTTTTGACTGAACTAGTTTTATGTAATTTATAAACTGTCAAGATTTTATTAAATGAAAATTATTTAGAAAACTAAACTATAAGTTCACTTAACTCTGTTACATCCGGATGTTACAAATATTTGGCCACAATTCGGTACTTGACCTTTTTGCTGAATATTTGGTTTGCTGAACGTTTGGCCAAGTATTCTGCCAAATATTTTGCAAAGTATTTATTGTCAATTTTTTTTTGGGGGGGGGGGAATGTGTATAGATTCAATAAATAACAATCTAAAATTGTTTTTTTTTTACACTATACATATACATTATTAGAAATAGTTTCTAAACGTATTTGTTAAGTTCTAAATCTTATCAGTTTATGATCTGAAAAACAGATGGAAATTTGAAGTTTTGAAACTAAGTTACTTTATACTGAACCACGCGTTAGTAAATGTACTTCTGATCTTTTTAAAATTATATCAAGACAAGTCAATTATGTCGTTTTTTCAATACTTTCTTTTTAAGAATTGAGAACTTTTATTTTCGTTTTTGCTATTTTATTGTCACTTTTTCCTAGTGCAGAAAAACAGATAACCTATGACACAGAAAACTGTGATTCTAAACGTTAAAGTTATACTTCAAAACTAAGCACAAATTTTTTTTTCTCCTGTTTCTTTTTTTGCATTTTTTTATATTAACTTTTCATTTTATTAGTATTTTTTATACAACACAAAATATTTAAAGAGTGTTTCAAATGAACGTTATTCATGGACACTTTTTTTCTAAAAATATGGCAATGTGAATAAATGAAATTGATTCAAATTAAATTGATTAGATTTTTAGCGTTACATTTTTTATTTAAACATTAAGATTTTTAAAAACGATTTTTGTTTTAGTTTCTATTCAACTTTTGCTTTTTTAAAATTTTTTTTTTCAATAGAGTTTTTTATTATGATGTGGAAATTAAAATGGTTTTTATTAGACTCTATTATTTTTCTTCACTTTTACTTGAAATTAGAGTAATTGAAAAACTGAGATGTTTAGCTTTTAAATTTTTTTCTCTCCAAAATTAAGATGGATTATTATTTTTTTGACTTTGTTTTTGTTAATAATTTTTTTAATGGGAAATATTTTAATAGCGTGGAAATTTTAAAAGCCTTTATGATAGACTTTATCCCTTTTAACGTTTTATGGGTATTTTTTCCCAGAATTAATTTTACCATTGAAGTTTTGTCTTAAGAATTAAAATACATTTTTTTTCACTTCTCTTTTTTTCAATTTTGCAGTTTTTTTTAAAAAATCGCTGTTAGTTTTTTATTTATCTCAAATATTTCTAATTATCTTAATATATAATTATTTTTATTACTTTAAATGTTTCTATTACATACCTGCCAACATTGAAGAAATAACATAACAGAGATTCTACTAGCAATATTTTTTGGGCTACATTTACAGTTTTGATATACATCATATATTAACATATAATTGAAAAAGAGAAAAGTAAAATTGGAAATAATATAACCATTTACACTTATCGCAGGTAAAACATAATATAGCTATACAGTATTTTATATTAATTAGCTTTATTGTACAGAATTTTTGCATATTTCTATTTTGAACATAAGTAGCTAGTAGTTGATTTGGCTTTGCACAGGAAATTTTTATAAAAGTTCTGTTCATACCAGAAAAATTACTTTTAGTCAAAAGCAAGCTTTCAAGCTTTTCATAAAAAAGTGAAGAGTGAAATTCAGCTCATATTTTTTTTTTTTTTACTTTAGAGAAAATTATCATGCACTTTGTGTTGCTATGCAAAATTCCCTAACATAACAACTGTAATAAAATTTTGAACTGTCTTTCATATAGTTCATTTTCTAGTTGCCTAATTGACATCCACAATGAATGATACTGAAAACAGAATACATTTTTGTTCTGACCCCAGTGGCAGAATTTTATCGAGCTTTCTGCGTCAAAATTCTCTAGCACTAATATCTTTCTGCAAAACACTTTCAATAATAACAAAGATGTATGTTACTTATTTAAGGTAACAAAAACGCTGTGTTTACAAAAACAAAAAAACAATGTAATTTTTTTAATATGTTAATTGAATAGGTAATACTTTTTGATTCAAATATTATGGGCGATATTCTCGCATTTTTCTGGAGGAGAGGGGTGCACTAATTATTTCCTTTTTCGCATTTTGTAAGTCATCATCACATTAAAAAAAAATTAAATATCATGAAATCCGTAGCAGTAATTACTGTAAAACAGATCGACGAGGAAATCGCGAGAATTAGTCTCTTCAGAAAGAAGTTACTCAAATGCATGTTTCGTTTTAGGATTTGACTGTTGCAATAAACAATATCGTATAAAAAATATTGGGTTTCAAAAAAAATAAATAAGTGAAAATTAAAAGCAATAACTGACAAAAAAAATAATAAAAAGTAAATGATCAAAAGCATGATTCCAACTTCCCGTATCGCCTGAAATATATCGGGATATCTAAAAGCTACGTGAAAATCAATGTAAATAACTGCTAAAAATACAATTAAAATAGATTTACTATATTAGCATAAATTGAGCACTTCAAAAAGTAATTATTTAAATGCGCGATTCAAATTTTAAGTGTAAATTTCTGCAAAAAGCGAAGCAAATTATTTTACTTCCAAAAAGAAAAATCTTTCTGCAAGAACTCTATTAAGTTCTGCGACAATGTCGCCGCGATTCTGCCACGGGGGTTCTTACGATTGGTAACAATACAGTGCAAACAAACAAACTTATTGCTGTTAGTAAATAACATACTTGTTATCAGAGAAAAAATTATTCACTGCATAAACAACTCCCAGCAGCATTCACATTAGATCTTGTTTGGTCAGCATAGCAGCGCACAAGAACTACGAAACTGGCCAAATTTGTTGAGGAATAGAAGTATTTTTGCTATTAGAGGATATTTAATCTTTAAAAAAAAAATTTTTTTTTAAATTTCTCCAGAAAATAAGCAGAAATTTGAGTAAACAGGAGATAAGTGTAAAATATAGGAGTCTTCGTTAAAAAACAGGCAATTTTGGCAGGTATGCATTGTGCCCCATATAAATAACATAGCTATGTTTTGGTTATTTTTCAATAAGGTCTAAACTTATTTTTCTATAAAAAATAATCATTAATGCTTTTTTTTTTAAAATGCTGCTATTTGTCAGATTTTTTTAACCTAATATTCGGTATCTAGCCGTTCAGCCAAATCACTATTTGTTACATCGCTAGTTAAATATATACTCTATTCTATAATTTGATGACATGTTGGAAGGACAACAATTTACAAGATTTGTATTTATTTATAACCAATCTATTATATATAATTCTCTTACGTGGCTCCCAAATTTTGGCTGTATTTCTTTTCTGCCGGTGGCAACGTTTGCTTTGTTTTGTTTACGTTTTGAAAACACCAAAGCAGTCTGCCTTTTAATGATGTGTTTCTGATCTAATCTATTATACATAATTCTCTTACGTGGCTCCCAAATTTTGGCTGAAGTAATTTGTACAACTAAATAAGATTCTTTTCACAACACTTAAATATTTACTTTATTTTCTTCATATATCAGTCGGCAAGGAATTCTGTTAGGTTAAAAAACATTTTTCTAAAAAAATAACGAATTCTGAAAGAAATAAAAATAAACAACTTAAAAAATAAAAATGCTGTTGCCAGCCATAGAATTTTTTGAAAGTTAACTTAGCAACATAAATCAAAATGACATAAAAGCGCAACTATATCAAAATTATGACACCTGAGAGCTTGACGTAACAAATCCTTCAGTTCTATAAGTGTTGTATCGCCAAATGCCCTAATTAACAATTGTGTTTTTAAAGAAATTCTATAAAAAGTTTTAAATAAGCAACCTACTTCTACAACTGCTTCTTGAAAAACTTGGCTCATTGATTAAAAATATTGTTTAAATTTTACGATACTAACTTTACTTCTACTTTCATTATTGCTATGACCCTCTTTAATTACATTTTACAACTTCAAGCTAAATTTGAGGACTTTAAGTTGTTTTGTGGTTGAATACTGACATTTAGAAATGTGTACATAAAAAAAATAATATTTAGAGGTTAAGAGTTGCCTCAGAAAAATTTGAATTGTTGACATTGAACTTAACAATGGAAACAATCGTTTTTGTGAAAAATTGAATTGTATTGTTGACATCAAAACTAAAAATATTGTGTTTCAACTTAACAATACTACCTTAATTTATACTTTAGAATTGCCTCGGAGAAATTTGAATTGTTAGCAATGACTTAAACAAAAAGTTTTATTTTAACTGACAAATACTATATTATAATTTTAACTTTTTCTATGACTATACTCATTTTCTTACTCTTTTCTTTGTTTTTTATACATTTTATTTTTTTGTGATAAAATAAAAAACTTATAGTTGTTCTGCTTCTGAACACTGATGAAAACACAAAATGATGGGCTTCATCAACAATCAAAAATATATACATTTATTTTACAAATTCCATATTATTAAGGTGGCGCCCTTCAGAGAATTAAAAATACAAAATTATCTTCATCAAAGCCGATGCTTTACATCCGGCGTTCAGTGGCAGACTACTATTTCATATTGTTTTACAACACATGGCTTTAGCCCTCTGGTGGGAAAGACTTTAAAACAAAACTTACAACAGTTACTTTTCTCAACAACTGAAATTTAGGATAGTGTGATTAAGAAAAATATGAGAACTGCTTGCATTTTCAAATTAATATTGAAATGTACAGGTTTAGAATTTTTTACAGTGAAAAGTTTTCGGAAAAGTATGCAAAAGCTGGTATTCAAAAAAATATGCAAAAGCTAGACATTAAGAACGTATCCAATGAGCGAGCAAGGCGAGCATTGGATTGCGAAGCAATCCGAAATGAACTGCGAAAGCAGTTCCGGGGATTGGCGAGCGCCAGGGAGCAGGGGGCGAAGCCTCCTAGTATTTATAAATTTCTATAATGAAAACTCTTCTCATTGACCACGCTGAAGTAAGTCATATTATGAAGAATTATTATTTAAATTGTTTCATAAACAACTAAACACATAAAAGCAATCATTTATAATATACATACTTAACTTTAAATAAATAGTAATATATCATAAAAATTTAGTTTATACAGTGATTCTTACAAAAAAAAAAAATCAAAACTGAAAATGCTATCACATTTAAATATGAGGAAATTAACTCCTTGTAATGAATAAAAACATTCAGCCAAAAAGCAAGCTAATCAGATATTACACCAATAAAAGAGGTTTTCAACTAGCTTCTTCCATGTTGTTACGTAAAGCTAGTGCACATTGTTTGAAATTTTTTAAAATCCGTTTACAAGTTTTTTAATCCGTTTACAACAGACATTTTTGCGAAAAAGGAAAGGTCTACAGAACTGTTAGGTCTGAGCAAAAATAAAATGAAGAGGAATGTGATACAAACTAGAAAAATATGAATTCAATGAACTCTTTTAAAAGAAATGTACAAAGGTTATGATATTTTGCTATCTTTTTGAAGATTGAATACGCCCAGGATTCTCTAAATTAAAAATCGGAGGTTTTGTTAATCTTACTTCATTCATAGAGAATTTAGGATGTTTTACGTTTATTGAGCGGTAACAGCAAAAGGAATAATGATTTGAGTAACTTCTTCCAGACTTATGTTAATCATTGACTCACTGTCAATGGGGAAAAAAAGGTTTTTTTTTTTTCAAAGCATAAAAATGTGTGGCTGCAGTTTTAGGAGTGATTTTGGTGAATTAAAAAAAAGAAACAAAACTTCAGTCACTATATCAATATTGGAAGGAATGGTTCAATTTGGTGTTAAAGCAGTCTTAATGGGTGCTGAAATAACATGGGGTCTATGGAACAGCAAACAAGACTCCATTATAAAGGAATGGTTGCAGTAATGGGACATCATATTAAAAAGCGTATACTGTATATATAATAATAATTGTAAATTTTACTGAGTAAATTTACAGTGGAACCCGCTTAAAAAGTTCCCTTTTAAGAAGTTTTCCCGCATAAGAAGTTATTTTTTAAAAAAACCAATTACCATAATGTTAAATTTACTTTTATAAGAAGTTTTTTTCCTGTTTAAGAAGTTTCCACTCCTAATTTCAATTTTTTAAAATTTTATTTAAAATGTCTTATTTAGTTTTAACTTGCCCTTACAAACACATGTATGGGTACTGACCACTGACCTTCATCACTCCTTTGTTACAAAGAAAGGTGACTTATCAGGAACAGGTGTGAGCAAAGGAATGTGAACCTTTAGATGAACTATGAAACTGATAAGAATGTAGGGAATAGCTTTGTCATTGTGTCCACCTTAAATGAATAGCCTGGTGACTCACGAACTTCACTGCTGTCCACACCCATTCAATAACTGAAGAGAAAGATACATCTAAACATTTAGCAGCATTTCGTTGAAAATTTTCTTAGTGTAGGCGCTTATGTTATCTTAAAAATCATCGTAAAAAGTTTGATTTTTGTGGAAAATGTCCTGTAAAGGCATTAAGCGTAAAGCTCTATCTATTGATGACAAAGTAAAAATTTTAAAAGCTGTTGACAGCTATCCTCAATTAACACGAGTTCAAATAGCAAAAAATTTAGATCTTCCTGTTACTACGTTAAATGGCATTATTGCTAAGAAAGACATCATCTTAAACTCTTCTTGTTCCGGTGCATCCCAGAAAGTAAAAAAAGTGAAGAAAGGAAAATACGAAAATATTGAAGAGAAACTGATGATATGGTTTAAACAAGCAAGATCCGCCAACATACCTGTCAACGGAACTCTTCTTAGAGGAAAAGCATTAGAGATTGCGGAGAAATTGAATGTTGATTTTACGCCTTCCAATGGATGGATTGATCGGATGAAAAAAAGAGCTGGTCTAGTTTATAAAACAATTAAAGGAGATTGTAACAGCGTTGATTTACAAGAAGCTGAAGAATGGAAAGCTAAATTACCTGAAATTATTTCAGGGTATCAACCAAAGAACATTTTTAACATGGATGAATGTGGACTGTTTTTCAATCTTTTACCAGATAAAACTTTTGCCTTTAAAGGTGAACCCTGTCATGGCGGAAAAAACAGTAAAGAACGTTTGACAATTTTAGTTGGGGCCAGTATGAATGGTATAGAAAAATTACCGATTTTAGTTATCGGTAAATCGAAAAAACCAAGATGCTTTCGAAATGTTAAGTCACTGCCTTGTGATTATGACAGTAATCAAAAATCCTGGATGACAATTAAAATTTTTGAAACGTATTTGAAAAAATTAGACAGTAAGATGCGAAAAGAAAAACGAAACATCATAATCTTCGTAGACAACTGCGCTGCTCATTCCAAGGAGAATAAGTACACTAACATCAAGTTGCAGTTCTTACCACCAAATTCTACTTCTGTTCTACAACCAATGGATCAGGGAGTTATTAAGGTATTTAAGCAGCATTATAAAATGCGACTTGTGAAACGGATGCTGGAAGGACTTGAAAATACTGGAGAGCTAAAAAAAGTCAATATGTTAGAAGCGATTGAGTTAATTGTATCAGCATGGGAATTAATAACACCATCTGCCATTGCTAACTGTTTTCGGAAAGCTGGATTCTCTGACGGAGATACAACTGAAGAATATCTCTTAGAAGCTGAATATGAAATATCAGATGAAGACGAAGAAACAAACGTAAATTTTGTTAATGATTGGAAGTCATTCAAAAATAAACTTAATTTCACAGCATCGTTTGAAGAATATGTATCCGTTGACGACGAAATTTTACCTTGTGATATGCTGACATTAGAGGATATTTGTGATGTTACAAATGATACAGAAGAATTCAGTGAAACTGAAGAAGATATTGCTAAACCACCTAGCTTTTCTGATGCCAGGAAAGGGCTGGATACTTTTAGGAAATTTATTTACACTGTTGAAAATGTAACCCCGGAAATGTTTAAATTTTTACAGCAGTTGGACAATTTTTACTTAAAGGTAGGTGAGAAAAGACAAAAACAAACCACTTTACACGATTTTTTCTCACAGAAATCTAGTCAATTATTGTAACAACGTATATTACATTGTAAGAAACAAAAAATAAAGTAGGTTACTTTGTTTTTATTTATTAGCAATTTTTTTTCTAAATGAATATTAAAATTCAATATTTATTTCATTAGGCTGAGAATTTAATATAAGTTACACAATTTCAAATTTTTTAGTTTTTTATTAATGTGTTTTTAAGTTTCACCGTTTAATAAGTTTTCCCGTTTAATAAGTCGTTTCTTTCCACTCCCTTGAAAAACTTCTTAAACGGGTTCTACTGTATATTGTAAATTAACATGTACAACAAAGAACAGAAGGACAAAAAATAAACACAGACTATTGTTAAGTTCTACACCTCCATCTACAAAATTAGATTTGAATTTGCATACCTAAACAAAGAAGAATAAATTAACTAAACTTCATAATTAACTGAAACATGTAATAATTAAAATCTGTGGAAAATATCCAAGCTGATCGTAACGAGTTAAGTAAGTTAAAAGCTGATGTTTCAGTTTTTTCTCCTTCCAGATTTTGTATAATTTTTTTTTTTTTAAAATTAAAAGGGTAAAAATTTTACAACATGTTGTTTCCATAGCATCTAATTTTGGAATACTAAAAAAGAAAAAAAAAACTTTTTTTTTTCTTCCAAAATTGCATATAAAAATTTTAATGAAGTGGAATGAAAAAAATTTATAAAAATATTAAATTGTAGTAACTTGTGGCAAAAATATCATGCCAATCAATGAAGCCAAAAATATAAGTTGAATTTGTAACATTGAGTTAAAAACATTAGATTTTGTTTCTTGCTCAACTGTACCTCCTGGGCAAGTAGAAATTGTACTAAAAACCACCCCACACATGCTGGCAAAAAAGCAGAATAAACTGTGATCAAAATCGGTGGACCTATTTTTGAGTTAAAAAAGTACACATAGATTTTCTATTTTATATATATAGAGAGATGTTCAAATCAATACTTACATCCTACATCTTCCCAGGTTATGCTTTCACCATCCTGAAACAAATAGAATTTTAAATAAAAATAACAAAAAAGAATGATTTGTTTGGATCATAATTCAATGCACATTGTAATTTCGTAAGTTGTTATGTTGTTTAAAATTAAACACAGTAATGTATATTAAAAGTACGCACTAATCCAATTCAAGAAGTCATAAAAAACTTCCCAATTACAGAAGCCTAGGGATGCTAACTTTCAAATTATCTATCCATAATCATAAGCACATAAAACATTAACAAAATTAAAGTTAGAGTAATTTCAATTTGATTTTAGATACCTCTTGATAGTTAAGGGGGAAAAAATACTTTTAACAGATTACTACAAATATGCTCAAAAATCACAATTTTTATAGCTTAACTGTAATCTTGACTAAAAAACCATGATAATTACAAACAAATCGTAACAGTTGGTACCACTGGATCTCAAAGTACACTGATAAAAAAAATTAAAGGAAGAAAATTTTTTAAAAGAAAAAAATAATAAGTAATGCCTATATGCAAAAAAGGTATCAGATGACAGCCAAGCTAGCACTTTGCCGACATCTCTGCCTGTGACGTCGTAAGGCATAGGCCCGTTTGTGTAGAGGTAACTCATATGCTAGTCTAAGCTTGTAACATATGGGCATTTTGAAACATCATAGCTTAGCCCAATCCTTGTTTATTGAATTTCTTTGTTAGTATAGCTAGTTGTCATTGCTTAGACCAGTGGTGCGCAAACTTTTTTCGACTGCGACCCCTTTTTGGAGAGAGAAAATTTTTGGCGACCCCTAGAGAAAAATGTTCACAAATACGATGTATATTTCGCGCATTTCTTTCGTTTCATCGAATAAAAACATCATCATATTTGACTCATATTAATTTTATTTATGATTTTAAGAAAATACTTTTTGTATAACACAAAAATCAGTAATTGCCCTTTAATGAGATGTATGTGGCTGCAAGTTTCTAATTATCTTATCGATGTTTGGATGTATGTTGCTAATTGCAATTCCCATATCATCCTCAGGGTTTAAGCGCGAGTGGTATTTAGTTTTTATTGAAACTAGTTTGCTAAATCCAGTTTCACATAAATACGTTGATGCAAATTGTATTAACACTCTGATGGCATTTTTGCATAAAACGGAATATTGTTTTTCCACAGATAGCCAGATGGAGAATACATTACGCATTACAGTCAAAGAAAGAGTGGACAGCATGAAATTGCAATTAAACAGTGAATGACGGCCCTTCACTCTTTATATGTACACTGTATATTATGCAGCATGCAGGGATAATGTATTTCAAAAAAACTTGGCGACCCCTAGTTTGCGCACCACTGGCTTAGACGATGCCACAAGATAGCAGATAGTTGGAAGTCTAAAGGTAGATCAATCACAGGCAAACTGATGTAGGGACTTTGGGGTTTCTGTGAAATCTGGTGTTTATTCAGTGAAAACAGTTCAGAGATAGAAACCTGGTCAAGGCCACAAAAGAGTAACAACACCTACTCAAGACAGTTATTTAAGACTTTTAAGAAAAAAAAAGAGATAGGTCCACAGCAGTGACCTAACTGTCTCACAACCTGTATATTGCAACAAGAACATTTATTTCACAGAAAACAGTCATCCAGAGACTTAATGCAGGTGGCCTGTATGCCAGGTGAAATGTAGTCTGCATCCAGCATTGACTGTGAACCACAAAAAGGACTGACGCCTTTTAATAATACACATAATTATTAGAAAGACATTAAGTGTTTTTTTTATAGATATCAAATATTTTATTTATTTTTCTTTTTTTGATATTGGAACACCTTGTTCTTCTACCTTCAGAATTAAATCACGAATTTTAAATATTTTTTTTAAGCAAAATGTAAGCAAAGTTCGCCCAAGGTCAAGAAAACTGAGATGGGCACAGTCGGCCTTGGCCCTCTTAATGGGTAAGCAAAGTTCAGACTTCGGAATATCTTTAAGCAATTTCGGATTTTAATGTCATTCTTCTCTTTACTTTTCTCAAAATTTTAAAATTCTATTCTAAGGGCATATGCTTAATTTGTTTACGAGCATTCAGTTTTGCAAAAATTTGCCAACTGTTAAGTCTAAAAAAATAAAATGAAGGAAAATATTATTACAACATGTTATACCTATAAAATAAACCACCTCTCATGTCACTTCACAAAAATTTTTAAGCAAGAAAAGTGTATTTGATGAATTTATGGAACCCTTTGAAAGGAAATTTACGAAGGTTTTGAGAGCATAACGAGGCAATCAGGGTTGGCAAGTTTTTGACACATGACAGTTTTTACTGGTTTATACCATGGTTTTTACCGTCATGTCAAAAACCCCTCTGTCAAAAACCGGTTTTTTCCGTTTATACCATGGTTTTTACCGTCATGTCAAAAACCCCTCTGTCAAAAACCCATAGTTTTGGTAAAACTGTATTTTTATTTGAGTTTAACTGCTTATAATTTAAAATTAATTCATTTTTGGGCAATAAAATTAGAAAAAAAGTTGTTAAAAGATATTTAAGAACAGATTCTTGCATTTTCCCAACATGATTATATCAAAACATACTATTTGAAGTAAAATATTAGGATACTAAACAAAATTTTCAACATTTCCAAGCATCATTTTGTTTGGCATATTACATTACTGAAGAATGTCAAGTCATTCTTGACTTAGAGTTTGTTAGTAGTTACAAGTTTTGAAAGTTTTGTTTAGCTTATTTCTAATATTTAAGAAATGCCAAATTTTAAATTCTTCTTTTTAGTTCTTGAATTTATTAATAGTTCCAAGCTTTTTTGTTTGTTTGTTTATTTCTAACAATTAAGAAGTGCAAAATTTTGAATCCTTTGCAAATCAAGCTATAATAATAAAAGTAAGTATCACTATTTTCAATAAGTATATTGCAATCTTTCTATATGAATGTATATCCTTCTAAAGAATACGTGTATATAGTTGCAAAATCAATAGCAATCATTTGCAACATTCATTTATAAAGGCAATTATGTGAAAATAATATATTGTCCGCTATATGCCATAAATTAATGAAAACAGTAGGTTTTTGACGGTTTTTTCCGGTAAAAACACAGTTTTTACCACTGTCATGTCAAAAACCCAACCCTGGAGGCAATATACAAATAAAATCTTCAATAATCAAAAGTAATAGATATTTCACACACGTTTTAACCATTATATACAGGCCCCCTTAAGTTAAGAACAATTGGTGGTCTTGTCATTCTTTCTTTATTCATAAAATAAAATTTTCCATAAATGCTTACTTTCTTAACTTTTTCATCATGAGGCATCCTTGTTAAGCTCTGTTTTTCGGCTAAAAATATAATCAGAATGAGGTTATGGAGAGTCTGTAATATATAACTAAATAAAAAATTATTTTAAAAGAAATTAAACTGCACTTCATTAAACATATGAATATATAACACAAAAAATTAGTCGGATGATGCATTAATAAGTACCCTTGCAAATTTCCGAACTCTTTAATATTTTATGTATTTTTTCTACCTATTACAGTTTGCCATGAATAAATTACATTACTCCTACAAACTAGTTTCTTTATCAAAATTTACATTTAAGAGTTGTTTCTAAATGTAGAAGAAAATTTTGTACCCAGACCAATTTCAACTTTTCATTACTTTTATGCAAGAAAATATAATTTAAAAATTTGGACTTTTAGAGGGAAATACATTGTTCATCTGATGATATAATTTTTTTTTTTAAAACGAGTTTGGTAATACACTTCAGAAAAAATGTACTTTCATATTTTAAGAAAAATAGGTTAGTCTAAGCTACGTAATTTATAGAAAGACATTCAGTTTTTTTTAATAAATATACATTGAAATTTTCTTTTACGAGAATAATGGCATGATATTGGAACACTTTGTTCTTCACTCTTAAGAATTACCTCACAATTTTTAATTATTTTAAGTAAAGTGCAAATGAAGACCAGAATTTTGAATAATTTAAGCAGATTGGAATTTCGATGGTCTACATTTTACTTTTCTCAAAATTTTAAATTCTATTCTAAACAATATGCTTAATCTGTTTACGAGCAGTAATTTTCATTAAAAATCACCACACCTAGAGAGAACTGTTATGTCTAAGAAAAAAGAAAACAAAAAATATCAAGAAAAATATGATTACAACTCAAAAATGAACCACCTCTTATGACACTTCAAAAAATTTTTAAGCAAGAAAAATGTAATTGATGAATCTATGGAACCCTTTGAAAGGATATTTACAAAGGTTTTGAGAGCATGCTGGAATCTCCTCTGTGGTTCGAACATGAGGATTCAATATATAAATCAAACTTTCAATAATTAAAAGCAATAGATATTTCATAATCTTTTTTACCATTATATACAGGCCCCCTTATGTTAAGTACAATTGGTAGTTTTGTCACTCTTTCTTTATTCATAGGGAATCCAAGAATTTTATTGAGCAGAAAATCCAAAAGAAATGGTTTGAATAATTTCCTCGACACTTTTGTAAACCATTGATTCACAGTCAATGAAAAATTATTAGCTTTTAAAGTGCAACACTTATTTTAAGAGTGATTTTTTTAGAAATTTCGAAAAAAAAAAAAAGAAACACAACTTTTGGTTGTTGCATTGAAATGACAATTTGTTCTGACGTTCTAATGGGAGTTAAAATAACATGATGTCTATGAAACAGCGAACAAGACTTCATGTACCTATTGGTCATTGTAATGGAAGGGCCATAGTTAGGGTGTAGAATGTATTACTACTCAAAATTTTAGTTATTATTTTAACATCAAGTAATTTTAAGAAAATAAAAAAAGGAACAATTTTAACATTTCAATTAAATATAAAATTTAATTAAAAAAAATATTACTAAAATATGAATTCAATTTTTAAGTAAGTATTAAGTGCTGCCATCAATTGGTTCAAAATGAAAATTCCAAGTACATAATGAAGACACATAAAAAGTATAAAGGAATGATAAATTTGAAATAAATGATTTTCAGAAAGCTGAATAGATTATGATCCAAATTGGTACTCCAATTCTTGAATAATTATAGTACACATAGACAGAATTTCCATTTTATATCTAAAAAAGATATTTTCAAGTGAATACTTACATCCAACATCCTTCCAGGTATCACTTCCACCATCCTGAAACAAAGAACATCATTTATGAAAGTAATAATACAGAATCAATGATTATCTACAATTTATCTACCATAATGATTATCAACAATTCAATGCATATTATAATACATATAAGTTTTTATGCTGTTTCAAATTAAATTTGGCAATGTATATTAAAAATAAGGACTTTTTAATTTTTTATTAAAAGTGTTGGCAAAATCACTTGTCAATGCAAGTATTGTTTACTAAACTGTGGTAATAGATACTAATGGTAATGTGGTAATTGGGTACATAAACTATTAAAATTGGTAACATCATAATAAATTTTTCACTGTTTCTGAAACAGTTTAGTACATAAATTTATGATACTTATTGATACCTAGTGATATTATAGAAATCAGGATGATGCTAGAAATTACAGGTGAAAAATATTACAGAAAGTTCAGAAACAATAGTAAGACTTCAACTAAGAAATTTATTTGAGAATCAATATTAAAATCTTTGTAGTAAGCAGTATTTTTTTAATAGAACAAAATAGAAATTAATGATAAACTGAGCAATAAAATTCAGAATATAGGGTTTTCTAGCAGATCTAATTATATTCTTTTAATCAGGGTGCATAGCCAAATTAATCAACAAAAAAAAAGCCCCTTTTAAGCACTCAAAAAATATTATTAAGCACTTTGAAAAAATATCATAATTAGGCAGGGTTAGAAAGTTTTTGACAATTGATAGTTTAATCTTGTTTTAACCGTCATGTCATATAAAAAAATTAAAAAAAACCTTTGGCATGGCTTTTGACAATTGTCAAAAATCATGAAATTTTGAATCATGTAAAACGAAAGTCGTTTTCATACGCTACTGACTGACTATTTGTCGAAATAGATTGGGGTTGAGTTTATTATGAAATTGTTGAATAGAACAATGTGAACTGTGTCTTTTTGCATAATTTGAAGCGAAAATCAACATAGTTNTGTTTGAATTGTACAACTAAGCTCATTTTCGAAAAGGGAAAATTAAGCACTTTTTAAAAACACCCAATGAAAAAAGCACCTTTTAGGGCTTTTAAAAAACAAAAATAGAAAATAAGCACTTTTTAAAAAAGCTACGCACTCTGTTAATGTTATTTAATCTAAAAAAAACTGTTGGGAAGAACAATTTTGCCTAAATAGCTTGATATTTAAATAACATACTAAACTATGATATATCAATGATTTGTAAACACACTTTGAAAGAAATTTGAAAATTAATAGTGAGAATATATAATTGCGAAACATTCATTTATATAATTATTCATAAGCTAAAATAGTACTATTAAACACTATAAATAGCAATACAAATAATTTCTGATGAAATGAATTTCAACAAAAATCTTACTTTCGCATCCTTCCTATCTCCACACATCCTTGTCAAGTTCCCTTATTCCAGCTAAAAAAAATAATTAAAATGATATCATAGTAAGTAAGTCTGTAATATACATCAACATGAACAATTCAAGACCATGGGGAAAGATTTCAGAATCACCAAGGTAGATAGTGGATCACAAGAAACTAAACAAGAAAAAAATGGGAGGTGTCCAACTGGAAGGGTATAGCTCACATCCCCCTCAGAAAAATCTCAGCATGATTTTTTTTTTTGAAATTTGCAATTCATTTGGAGTCTTAGCATTTGTAGTTGGAGCAACAGATCTTGATACAAAAATACTCATAAAAACCACTTCAAAGAAAAGCTGATTTTGCATGCAAAAAAAAAAAAAAAAAACGGTTTTTCTACAGAACAACACACTTTCACTGTGTAATAACTCTAGAGGAGTACCAATTTTTAAACTAAGTAATCCGTAAATTACAAAAAAATGTCGATTTAATCCTCAATTTTGCGAAAAGATAAACTGTTAAACAGTTTAGTTCGGTTAAACTTTTGATCATTTCACATATGAGTAGATGTCAAAAAAATAAGTAGCCTGATGATGTATTAATATGAAGCTAAGCAAATTTCTGAAATGGAATGCAATTCTGAAACCTTTACCCACTTATTTTTACATATGTAAGTATAAAATGAATCAATAACGGTATTTACTTTAATTAATACCATCAAAAAGTTGAGGTAAAATATAGTTTAAAGTAAGAGGAAAAAGAAGGTAATACTTTTTAAAAATCTTTTCTCTTTTTAGAATGATTTGCAAGTTTAAAATCTAATTTGCACATTGGCGATTGTTGTTAAAACACGAAAACAACGTTTTATTAAACATAAACAGTTAATATACAGTCACAGTTAACCTAGCTGATGCGTCAGAAACACGAGCGATTAATCCTCACTTCGGACAGATCACGCTATTGGTCGAAAATGACATCCCTGCTTGTGGGAAGGGAGATGGTATTGGCTGATGTTTGTATGATTTTGGCAATAAATTTCGTACTCACATGTGTACGGGTGTTGCATGTGCTCGCTTGGAATTTATTTCTTCCTTGTAAATGTTTACGTAATATTATGTCGTCGTTAGGATGGGAGAGATAGGTAAATGTCCACTTCAGCATTTCAGACAATATTTATGGTTTAANGAAAAAATAATAAGACAAAGTAAGACTACTCGAATAACGAATAAAATAAAAATGATAATAACTGTCCGAACATACGACAATTCAAGCATAAACGAGCTACAACTGCCAATGTTTTGAAGTAAGTAAGATGGCCGACGGTTAATTTCGCGGTTAACATTGCCGAGCTTTCGGCTTCACGAATTTCTGCTAGTGTCTCCTCCATCTACTCCTAGCTCCATGAATACGCCATCTGAGGAGAGACCGGTTTCACGCCTTTAGCCCTTCTCCCTTCCCTCTCCTCCTCTTTTCAGTTGCATAGGAATGTACTACGATAATTTTCCTTTTCTTAATATTTTTCCCTTTTATTTAATAAAAACATTTTTAAAATTTCTATGATACTTTTCTTTAGAACTATGCTTAATGTAGTTTACAGTTCCATATAGTTTTTTAAGTTAAAAGATTTTAATCTATGTGAAAATTAAGAGAGAAACTAACGTACTTCCTTCCTCTATGACTTTCCACACGCTAAATGAGGAAAGCAAGTGAAGTGTTGCCATAGGAAAAGAGTTCTGCTCTACGCCACCTGCAGTCCATTTCGATCGCCAATTCTGTGCTTAGCCCCCCCCCCTGCATTTCCAGATCTGTTTAAATATTTTTTCGCAATATTCCCAAATCACCTGATTCATAATTAATTATAACAAAAAGCATTAATAAATAAAAACAAGAAAACATTAATAGATAAAAGTAAGAAACATTAATACCAGGTGTAAACAGAGCGCTACTGTCGCCAAATCAAGATCTGTCGCCAAAATACTATGCAATACACAGCATGTCACTTCCCCCCAGACAGTGATGTCATTTTCGACCAATAGCGTGATCCGGCCGAAGTGAGGATTAATCGCTCAATAGTTACGAAACATGGTGTTTTACCGCTTATACTTCCGGGTTACTGTTCCCGATGTATTTCAAAGCCATTTGGCTCACAACGTGTCAATAATATATGCCAACTTTCAAATTTAAACCTAAATTATAATGTATAAATTAATCTTGCTCCTCGAACAACATGCTAACACTAACATAAGATGGTGCACAGCTTGCAACGTGAACTAACAGTAATAAACAAATGGAAAGATGGCCATCATATCAAGACTGCCGAAAAAGCGAATTATTCAAAATCTAGCAACCATGTCACCTTTTTTAACAATATATCTCTAAATAACTAAAGCGAATTTTCACTTCAAACTCACCAGAATTCAGAAATTATCTAATTTATTTCTTTTATTGAAAACAAAATTATCCGTTTTAAAATATCGCTTCGCAGAATAACATGTAGTAAGCATCTGCAAACCTTCTAACCGGAACTAGAGTAAGCATACAGCTCGAGATTGTTATTGTTTACATTTCTACTGAAAACACCATCCATATTTTTTTCCCTTCATACTAATGCAAATATTTACTTCGGTTGCTTGTTGTATCTCGAATTATGTAGATGGCGGCACTGAAGTTCAAATTTAAAAAAATGGCATACGAGAAAAAATATTTTAAGCATGAAAAATGCCAAAACACACTTTGCGTACCTAAGTTGTATTATCATTTTTAATTTTTACACAATCACGTCAGAACTGAATTATATGTAGTTTCATAGTTGATATTGTTTTGGAAGCATTCACGTTGATAAAATCATGTAAATCTCAACTCTATGTTTTATATGTATCTGAAAAGTAATAGGAGTAAATAATTAGAATAGCAGATATTCGAGTTTATGGCATAACTCACATTACTCAAGCTTACAAATGATACTAAATACATTATGCAGGCAATAAACAGTTTTGAAAATCCCCTAAAATTTCTAATTTTAAAAGAAAAGAAACTGTTTTATATAAAATTACATTAAGACACAAAACAGATAGTTTCTTTTGCTCAATTAAAAAATCACGATCTTTAAAAAAATTATTTAAAATTATATTATTAATAATATAATTATTAAAATTATATAATTAAGTATTTTTTTTAATATTTTTCGTATTTCAATCGTATTTTTTTTATTACATTTAAGATTTATTTTTCATTCATGAAATAATAATTTAAATCAGTTAATCCATTTTTTTGGTTTAAATCTATGTTGAACTCATTGTTAAAAAAAAAAAATTCAAATCATTTATTTGAAGAAATTTTTTTTTTATTTCCTTTTGAAAAAGTTATAAAAATTATCATTTCATTTCAATCAGCTTTTTATTGACCTTATTCATTAGTTTTAAAATTATTTAATTTATAAATTAAAACAGTTTGTAATGGAAAAATGGTGCGGTTGGTCGTGTAGATGGTCTAATTGAAGCAGATAATGAACACAGGATAAAACAGAAAATAAAATATTTATTTCGTTGCAGACCTCGAGGTACAAAATAAAAAGAATGTTATCCAAGTGACATATCAAGTAAAATAACAAATTTGGTGTAACATGAATAAGGAAGATCTATGGGAAATAAATCTCCATTAACCTGCCGAACCAAAAGCTTAATTAAAACTCGTATTTAATCAACGTTTTGTAGTACAGAGGAAATCAATTATAGTTTATAACAGTCGTTGAACAGCCGATCCAATTTTGAGTTTAGGTCATCAACACCCTAGCCTTCTAACTTTGAAAACAATCCAGTAGACAAGGAACTCCTGGATCAAGTATTGGAAGTTTTTAAACATTGTGGAGGTTTTTTATGGAACTAATCTGCATTTGCGTTACATGGAGAGGAAAACCTCCCACCGTTTGACTGATGGCAAGGAGACTCTAACCCATGATCCGTCTACCACTAAGTATATTTTACATCAGCACTGTGGTCTGTGCTTGCTGAATTCGTATCGACAAGACATCGTTAGGATTCAAACCCGATTCATCTGATCGATCGGGAGGCTAGCACTCCATTCTTTAAGCCATCACGGCTCGATGTATTATAGGCGCATTATCGAAAATGGACACTGCCGAGGTCGGGATAGCTTGGTTGGTAGGGTGTTGGGCCCATGTTCAAGAGGTCGTGAGTTCGATTTTCACTCCCCTTGTAGTAAATGGTGTCTGGTGAGCGTCGAATCTGATGGGTCACAAAGTTTATAGCAGATCATACCTCTGGGGTTACTGAATTAAAGATTGATCGTTCTCTGGTTCTGGTCAAAAATACGATCTGTTGATGAATAAATGGATGTATGAATACGTCCGCCTTTTAATACGAGCTGTGACGTGTGTGTGGTTGATGTTGTATTCTTGGTCATAGATGGCACCACTTAAAAACAAGAAAAGCACCCTCTACCTTAAATACGCTTGCAGTAAGCAGGCTTGCTGGATTGGCAAGTGGCATTAGAAACAGAACACTGCCAAAAAGATGAGTCAATTCAGCCAACCACACGATATCTCTTATTAATATTTAAATAATTTAGGCTGAAAATTTAAGACCAAAAAGTTTGTTGAAATTTAAAGTAAACCTAATAACGTAAATTTCAATGCTCAATGTGGTTTAAGAAAGAGAGGTTAAAAATAGATTGAGATGCTCACTTGTCGCGACATTGAATAATAATTAGTTATACATTTGCATTGAAATGAAAAGTGAACCCTTACATTTAATGATTAACAATATTTGCATTCGCTCTTTATAAAATTCAATAAAAATTAATTAAATTATTTATTATATAAAGAGCGATTGGGAATGATTAAATTTATGAAATAAAGGAAATTTAAAAGTTATATAATACGTAATGGCATCACACAGCTAATTGAGCTGGTGTGCAAAAATTAAGGATGAAGTGGTTCTTCGAATGTAAGATTGAGCAGCAGTGTTGAAAATCGATAAAAATCATACCACAGGATCTTCAAAATGTAAGAATATGAGAAAGTAAGCAACTTGCAAAAAAAAAAAAAAAAAAAAAAAAAAAAAAAAAAAAAAAAAAAAAAAAAAAAAAAAAANCATTAGAAACAGAACACTGCCAAAAAGATGAGTCAATTCAGCCAACCACACGATATCTCTTATTAATATTTAAATAATTTAGGCTGAAAATTTAAGACCAAAAAGTTTGTTGAAATTTAAAGTAAACCTAATAACGTAAATTTCAATGCTCAATGTGGTTTAAGAAAGAGAGGTTAAAAATAGATTGAGATGCTCACTTGTCGCGACATTGAATAATAATTAGTTATACATTTGCATTGAAATGAAAAGTGAACCCTTACATTTAATGATTAACAATAATCTTTATAAAATTCAATAAAAATTAATTAAATTATTTATTATATAAAGAGCGATTAGGAATGATTAAATTTATGAAATAAAGGAAATTTAAAAGTTATATAATGCGTAATGGCATCACACAGCTAATTGAGCACAATATACACTGGTGTGCAAAAATTAAAGATGAAGTGGTTTTTCGAATGTAAGATTGAGCAGCAGTGTTGAAAATCGATAAAAGTCATACCATAGGATCTTCAAAATGTAAGAATATGAGAAAGTCAGCAACTTGCAAAAAAAAAAAAAAAAAAANAAAAAAAAAAAAAAAATTAATCCACAGGTGCACAAATAACCAAAACATCAATGATACACGGGATCGGCAAGGAAATTCCAAATTTTTTTGGGGGATAAGATCACCTCTGACTGCTATGCAGGATTGACATAGTTTGCCCAGGCTGAGGACCAGGTAGTTACGAAGTTCTTGAGGAATTGCTGCCCATTCCTGCTGTAGTGCTAATCACAGCTGCGGAATTGCTGCTGACGGC